AAGGAAAGACCCTGTTCTATTGTGACTTGAAAAAACCGAAACGTTCGGAAATGAAGGAATATCTTTTGTATTGAATAACACAATATCTGTTCCGAAAATATGAACTTTACTAACTTTTATTGTTTGGAATTTACTTTTTCAAAAGTTGCGAAAAATTTTTGTGATTTTTTGGCGGTATTCCAGGACAATACTAAGGACGGTATGGGCTATTTTCTAAACAGCGGGTATTACCGTAACGGACGCGCAACAGTCGACACGAATTGCTCGGTCGAAATCACATCATTTCATTTCACTCAACGTCCTTTCACCCGAAAATGAAGTTCCTCGTGCTGTCCGCTCTGCTCGCCGTCTCGTTGGCCATCACTGTTGAGGAAGTCGACACCAAGGAGACCACCATCGAGATGGTCATCTTCCCCGTCGATGGCTCCGGTGAAGGCAGCGGCTACGGATCGGGATACGCCAGTGGCTCTGAAGACTCTTCGGAATATGGATCAGGATACGCCAGTGGTTCTGCTGAAGCCAGCGGCTATGGAAACGGATATTCCAACGGCTACGGAAGCGAATATGCCAGCGGTGAACTCGAAGAGATCGAAATTGTCAAGATCGAGGAGATCGAAATCGAGTTCGGCTCGGTGAGTTTATTTTAAACTTTTTGTTGTTTAGCCTATTTACTTTGACATGAAAGTTTTTTAGGGCAACGAAGAACATGACCGCTCTCCTCGCCAGGCCAATGCCAGCGCCACCGAGGCCCCTGCTACCACCAGCCAGACTACCACCGACGACGACAAGAAGTGCACCATTGCTGCTCTCTGCGAGTCTGACGATGAGTGCAATGGCGGTCAGTGCCTTGGACTTGCTCCTGGAAAGTGCAACTGCAATGCTTGCCTCTCCTTCCTCGCCTGCAAGTCCGACGCTCACTGTGGAGGACTTACTGGCGCCTGCAACAAGAACTCTAGCCTCTGTGATTGCCAAGGAGTGAGTTTTTTAACAACTTTCCTTTTTCCGACATGTGCTTCCTAATTTTTCGTTTTAGGCCTTGACCAAGCTCGGGTTCGCCAACTTGATCGAGTCGGCCACAAAATTCTGCAACGTGAAGACGTGCAAGGACAATGAGTGCAATGGACTGCCCTGCAACAAGGGTTTCTGCTCGTGCCCCGCCAAGAAGGACGAGTAAACCACGATCTGTGAATTCCGCTGAATTTTTACTTTGTACTTTGATGCATGATAAATTTGTCACTGAAACCAGAATTGCACCGAATATGAGCACACGATCCGCGTAACCCACTATACCTTGTTGGCGCTTTGAAACGCTTTGCGGTTGAGGCACTTATTGTCGGGCGAATTAGGGTGTGTGCGAAGAAATGCTCGTCTGTGCCCGGCGGTGACGTATCGATCCCAACCAAGTCTCATGGAAGGGGTGTCGGCTATCGCTCCCCCCAACAACAACCGGAATGATTTTCCCATAAATAGGTTTTTGGGTGAGATCTATTCTTTTCCATTAACAGAGATGAGAATATAGAAGGAATTTTGGATAACAGTCTAAGATTGGGGTTTTATTGATTTTGACTTCTATTTGCAAGAATAGTTTGTGACTGGCAATGTTTGTCGATGTGGTTTCTGTCGAACGTTCCCAGATTGGTCCGCAATGGACCTTGTTTGGCTCTAGTAATCAATGTAGACGGGTGGGCCAATGCCAACGTATTTCTCTCTCCTCTTCCGGGATGTCCATGCCCCGTTCACATGTGCCGCAATTTTTGTTTTCCACGCCCGGCCGACCCCCTACAAGAGAGATGGGGCGATAGGTTTTGAGATCTCGTTGTGTAAGAGCCATGTCCATCTCTTCCCTGATCCTATTTGCTTTTGTCGCCTCTTACCGATGAGGGCGAATTGTGTGCAAAATCGTTTATGCTCTTTGCTACCGGGTCGGGCTTATCAAGCGGGGGTGGGAGGGTCAGCACCTGGGTTGTTCATCATTTTCTTGTATTACACTCGTGATTTTCATGAGTTCATTTTCGTTTATGAGCCATACTTTTTCAGGTAGTTTTATGGTTTATTGAACATCGACGAACGATGTTTCACCGTCGAGCTGCCAAGGCTGGACTTGCGCTACTCGGAGGTTTATTAACTGTGTGATTAAAAAGTTCTGTTTTATAGGCTCGGCTGCGGCAATTTATGCGATAGATGTGACAAATGAAAACCGGTTTAAAAATGGCATGGTGGGTCCATTCCTGTCTAGCTAAACCGCTTGTTTAGAAACAATATTTCCGCACGGCACATGCCGATTTATTAACGGAGCTGAACAAACGCCCTTCCGGTCAACTACCGACTAGGACAGACATTGTCTCCAAACTGAAGCAAGAGGTAGTTTGCTGCTGCATTTCAAGACGGCGATTTTTTTTATTCAGGAGTTCGATATTTTGGTGGTCGGCGGCGGTGCATCGGGTGCTGGTGTGGCCTTGGACGCACAAACACGAGGTTCGAAAGACTCAGGCTTTAACAAAGAAATAATCTAGGTCTAAAAACGGCACTTGTCGAATTTGATGATTTCTCCTCCGGTACTTCTTCGCGCAGTACTAAGCTTATCCATGGTGGTGTCCGCTACCTCCAGGTGGTTTTGTTTGCGCTATCGAAATTCTTTTCAGGCAGCCATTTTCGGCCTGGATATTGAGCAATACAAAATGGTCAAAGAAGCATTGTTCGAACGGGCCAATCTACTCGAAATTGCCCCTCATCTGAGTTGCCCTCTACCTATTATGCTTCCCATCTACAGGTTGTTCTTGAAAATCGTCACTTAAAATTTATTTATTAAATATTATGTAAATTTAAAATTTAAAACTTATTTAGCTGGTGGCAAGTTCCTTACTACTGGTTCGGCATCAAGGCGTACGATTTTGTCTCTGGAAAACGTGTACTGAAGAACTCTTTTTTATATCGATAAGGAGAAGGCTATGGAAAGGTGCTATTAACTAGTTTTATTTATCTGGTTATTTAGGTTTCCGATGTTGAAAAAAGATAACCTTCGTGGAGCATTGATCTATTATGACGGGCAGCACAACGACGCCCGCATGAACCTGGCTATCGTTTTAACCGCTATTCGCCACGGAGCAAAGTGTGCTAACCATACGAAGGTGGAACGACTTCTGAAAGACGAGAACGGGAAAGTATGTGGAGCTCGAGTGAGGGATATGATCAAGGGTGAAGAATATGATATCAAGGTGCGTCTTCGGGCATTAGTCTAATGGATTTTCGATAGGCGAAATCTGTCGTCAACGCAACGGGCCCATTCACTGATACCATTCGTAAAATGGCCGACCCGACAACAGAACCGATTTGTGCTCCGTCCGCTGGTGTGCATATCGTGTTGCCCGGATATTACAGGTTGGCCTGGGATTTTTTTTCAACACACCATCGTTTCAGCCCCTCGAATACCGGCTTGCTCGACCCGGCCACCTCGGATGGACGTGTGATTTTCTTCTTGCCATGGGAAAAGATGACGATTCCCCGGTAGAACTTTGCTAGTGTGTGAATTTACTGGACCCAGGCACCACCGATGCCGCCTCCGAACTGACGCATTCTCCGGCACCGAAGGACCAGGATATCGAATTTATCCTGAATGAAATTCGCGGCTACCTTAGCCAAGACGTCAATGTTCGTCGGTATGTGTTTGGAGTTTGGGAAGTCGTGATTTTTATCCTATCGATAATGATAAAAATTAACGCTTTAGTGGTGATGTAATGTCGGCATGGGCAGGCCTTCGTCCTCTCGTCAAGGATCCGAACAAGAAGAACACCGCCAGCTTGGCCAGAAACCACATTATTGAGGTTCGAGCTTGGTTTGTATTAAATCATCATAATTAGGTGTCCGAATCCGGGCTCATCACCATTGCCGGCGGCAAATGGACGACTTATCGGCACATGGCTGAAGAGACAGTCGATGCGGCAATTAAGGCACATGGATTGAAGGTAATGCCCGCGAATGAGTTGGCAATATTTTATTTCAGCCCGTCAACGGATGTATGACGCCCGGTTTGAAGCTTGAAGGAGGCCACGATTGGGATCCGCTGCTTTACATTCATATCGTGCAAGATTACGGGATGGAGGTTGATGTCAGTTTTTTTAAGGAGGTTGATAGATTGGATTGACGTGCTTGCTTCTATTTATGATTTTTCTAGATTGCACAGCACTTGGCCAACACCTACGGTGATCGCGCATTCGTGGTGGCCCGTATGTGCAAGATGACCGGGAAAGCGGTGGCCAATCGTCGGGAAACAAGCTGCACGACGAGTTCCCGTATCTCGACGCCGAAGTGCGATATGCTGTGCGCGAATATGCTGCGACGGCCGTCGATGTGATTGCCCGCCGGTTGCGCATCGCCTTCCTCAACACGTACGCTGCCCACGAGGTGCTCCCAGAGGTAATTTGCTGGCCCAAACCCATTGATATTTTTATCTAGGTCGTCCGGATTATGGCTGAGGAGCTCGGTTGGAATTCTTCCGAACAACGCCGACAGCTCGAGATTGCCCGCGAATTTATCGATCGCGAAATGGGCCAGGAAGCAAGGGCACAGGTGGACTTACTCTTTTAAATATATATTTTTGATTGGTTTAGGCTGTTTCAAACGTTGCCCTGAACCTGACGCGCGAAGAGATGCAGCAGGCTAAGGAACGCTTCCAACCAGCTTGACAAGGACCGAAAGGGGCCACATCACCGTCAACGACTTGCGCAGACACTTTAGGGTGATCGTTGTCATCAAAGTGTTTATTTTTTTTTTTTTCAGCAAAGAAATCAGAAGATTGATGAACGTTTGTTGCACGAACTCTTGAACGAAGTCGACCTGAACAAGAATGGCGAGTTGGAAATTGCCGAGTTCTTCCAGGTACTGCGTTGAACTTGTTTCCTTAGTCTCTGCCTGCCGTTTCAGCCTCTATTCCGGTCTGAAGGGGCGGCAAGTTGTGCAGAATCGTCTGGTGCGCTACTTGGATGAAGCCAGCCTGGAAGTCCCGGTGCATAGGTCCGGCGGAGGTGTATAATTCCGGAATCACATCTCTTTAGGGTTTAGACTAGTTTTTATACATCATTTCTCGTTTGTTCCTGCCATGTTTTCTTGTCACGTTGCATTTTGTTAACCTCCTTGCACTTTAACAAACATCGCTTAGCCTGCTGTGTATATCCCCCGTTCTGTGAATCCTCCCCTCTTCTTTTTGCTGCTCATCTCGTGTTATCCCCCGAACAATGTGCCCAAACCCGTATAATGCATGAATAAATCCGATCATTTTCACATACTTATACTTTCTTTTCCGACAGGGTTTGCCCAAGGATCTAGAGATGACGACGAGATCTGTTTTCGAGAAAGGGAGTGATCTTTC